CAAGGTGACCCCATTTCTACTAAAAATAAAAGAAAAAAAATTAGACGCGTGTGGTGGCACATATCTGTAATCCCTACTACTCCGGAGGCTGAGGCAGGAGAATCACTTGAACCTGGGAGTCGGAGGTTGCAGTGAGCCAAAATGGTGCCACTGCACTCCAGTTTGGGCGACAAGAGCAAAACTTTGTCTCAAAAAATAAAAATAAAAATAAAACAAGAAGTGAAGAGTATTCTTGCAACTTTTTTGTAAGTTCGAACAGTTCCAAAATAAAATGATAGGGCTGTTCATTTAGGTGGTGGTTACAGGGGCATTAACATATGTAAAAAAATCATTGAGTTGTACATTTAAGATTCATGCACTTTTTGTATTTTATTATGTGTATGTTAAGTCTTAAAAATAAAAGGGGGAAAAAACGTGATGGTTCCCTACTACTTTATTAGGTAAAGTAAGAATCCGGTCTGGTTTGCTTTCGGAGAAACTGTTTCCTGGTTCTCTGATCTACTTGGCTGAAAGCACAGTGCCTGGCACAAACTAGGCTACTGTTCAGTTTTGAATTAATGAAGTTCAGCGACATTGTCATCCTATTTATTTATTTATTTCTGAGACAGGGTCTTGCTCTGTCACCCAGCCTGGAGTGCAGTGGTGTGATCTCTGCTCACTGCAACCTCCACTTCCTGGGTTCAAGCAATTCTCCTGCCTCAGCCTCCCCAGTAACTGAGATTACAGGCGTGCACCACCACACCTAATTTTGGTGTTTTTAGTAGAGACAGGGTTTCACCATGTTGGCCAGTCTGGTCTTGAACTCCTGACCTCAAGTGATCTGCCCGCCTCAGCCTCCCAAAGTTCTGGGATTACAAGCATGAGCCACCTCACCCGGCCTGTCATCTTATTTTATCTCACCTCTTCCTCCTCCCTTCCCCAACCACCTTCTCTAGAGAAAAAGATCTTTGCTCTCAATTTTGGAACACTAAAATTTCCTTCAGCCACTCTTGTTAGGAAGATATAAGGGAAGAGAGCGACAGACAAGAGGCAACTCTACAGCAAACAGGTTTATTCACAGGAATAACCTTGCAGAGGGTCCCGGTCAGGAGTCTGGCTGAGACCCTGATTGCTTACAAGCTGAGGCTTTTATAATACAGTTTCAGAGGGGCAAGGTTGCTTATGCCTGTAATCCCAGCACTTTGGGAGGCCAAAGAGGGGGGATCATGAGGTCAAGAGATTGATTGAGACCATTCTGGCTAACGTGGTGAAATCCCATCTATATTAAAAATACAAAAATTGGGCCGGGCGCGGTGGCTCAAGCCTGTAATCCCAGCACTTTGGGAGGCCGAGGCGGGTGGATCACGAGGTCGAGAGATCGAGACCATCCTGGTCAACATGGTGAAACCCCGTCTCTACTAAAAGTGCAAAAAATTAGCTGGGCATGGTGGCACGTGCCTGTAATCCCAGCTACTCAGGAGGCTGAGGCAGGAGAATTGCCTGAGCCCAGGAGGTGGAGGTTGCGGTGAGCCGAGATCGCGCCATTGCACTCCAGCCTGGGTAACAAGGGCGAAACTCCGTCTCAAAAAAAAAAAAAAAAAAAAAAAAAAAAAAAAAAAATTAGCTGGGTGTGGTGGCGTGCACCTGTAGTCCCAGTTACTCGGGAAGTTGAAGCTGGAGAAGTGCTTGAACCCCAGAGGCAGATGTTGCAATGAGCCCAGATTGTGCCACTGCACTACAGCCTAGTAACAGAGTGAGACTCTGTCTAAAAAAAAAAAAAATGTAAAGAAAAATGAACCGGATGGGTGTGGCAGCTCATGCCTGTAATCCCAGCTGAGGCTGGTGTGGATCACCTGAAGTCAGGAGTTTGAGACCAGCCTGGCCAACATAGTGAAACCCCATCTCTACTAAAAATACAAAATTAGCCGGGTGTGGTGGTGCATGTCTGTAAAGCTACTCAGAAAGCTGAGGCAGGAGAATCACCTGAACGTGGAAAGTGGAGGTTGCAGTGAGCAGAGATCACACTCCAGCTTGGGTGACAAGATGGAGACTCTGTCTAAAAAAAGCAAGGGGGCATGGGGGAGACTAGAAAGAGAAGGTGTCCCCTTTGTTTCCAGATCCCTGGAGTTGCCTGGTGTGACATTACTTGAAGCAATTCTTTCCTGGTGCCAAGGGAGGGCCACCGAAATCTTACCAGTCCTGAGTGATGAGTGGCCAGTGTTGGATCCACAAGTAATGAAACAGCGGTGGCCTTCAGCAGGAGGTGCCAAGTCAAGGGAAGGGGTATGGAGGGGAGAAGAAAAAGAAGAGTGTGGTATGAAGGCTGGGGGTGCCATTTGGGGTCCAGGGGCTAGCTAGCCTGGGGTGAGATTCCATTGCCCGTTGCTTCCTGGGTTGCAGAAGCCAGGAGCCCCCTTGTGAAATGTGATGAAGGGTGGTAGACAGGGCTGGGAGTGGGAGGATTTGAGAGGAGAGAAAGAAAGAGAAGGGCGGGGGTGGGGGAGAAAGAAAAAGAGGAGAGATGGGGGGAGAGAGGGAGGAAGAGAGAGAGGGAGACAGAGCGCCTCTGCTATGAAACCCATCCTGGGTTTCAGCACCATGTTAGGAAGATGGAAGAGAGTGAGACAGGAGGCAACTCAATAGCCAAACAGGTTTATTCACAGGAATAAGCCTGTGAGGAGTTCCGGTCAGGAGTCTGGCAGAGACCCTGATTGCTTACAAGCTGATGGCTTACAAACTTTTTTTTTTTTTCCTTTTGAGATGGAGTCTAGCTCTGTTGCCCAGGCTGGATTGCAGCGGTGCAATCTTGGCTCACTGCAACCTCTGCCTCCAGGGTTCAAGAGAGTCTCCTGTCTCAGCCTCCCGAGTAGCCGGGATTACAGGTGTCTGCCACCATGCCCAGCTAAGTTTTGCATTTTCAGTAGAGATGGGGTTTCACTGTGTTGGCCAGGCTGGTCTCAAACTCCTGATTTGTGATCCGCCCATTCAGCCTCCCAAAGTGCTCATAGGTGTGAGCCATCACTGGAATGCAGTGGTGTGATCTTGTCTCACTGCGATCTCTGCCTCCTGAGTTCAAGTGATTTTCCTGCCTCAGCCTCCTGAGTAGCTGTGATTATAGGCACCTGCCACCATGCCTGGCCAATTTTTTGCATTTTTAGTAGTATGTTGGTCTGGCTGGTCTCTAACTCCTGACCTTGTGATCCGACCTCCTTGGCCTCCCAAAGTGCTGGGATTACAGGCGTGAGCCCCTGCGCCCTGCCTCTAGCTGAGGCTTTTATGGTAAACTTTTTATTGGGGAGGAGTCGGGGAAGTGCTGGCTGGTTGGGACTGCCTGGGACTTTTTAAGGCTCTGTTATGTAATGTTGAAGCTATGGGCAGGGTTAACATTTGTTTTCTTTCTGAGAACAGTGTTGTAAAATGTCATCACCATTGTTAGCCCTCACAACGTTTACCTGGAATCAGTGAAAACCATTGTTGTTGAGAACACATAGAATTTCCAAGCTCTTATCTAAATCATCTGCTGAATCTTCACGATGATCTACCAGGCTGGTAGGAAACTGGGGCTCATAGATTAATCAAGGTCATGCTTAATTGAATGCCGTGGGTCTGGGATTAGAATTTGAGATTTACTCCAGGCCTGGTCTCTGTCCCCAACAATTTAACCACAAGTTAAAATTCCAAATTATGTCTGGCAGAAGACTTTTCTATATAGTGGAAAAAAAAAAAAAAAAAAAAAAAATTCCGGGCCGAGCACAGTGGCTCACGCCTGTAATCCTAGCACTTTGGGAGGCTGAGGTGGGCGGATCACAAGGTCAATAGATAGAGACCATCCTGGCCAACATGGTGAAACCCCGTCTCTACTACAAATACAAAAATTAGCCAGGCGTGGTGGCATGCGCCTGTGGTCCCAGCTACTGGGGAAGCTGAGGCCGAAGAATTGCTTGAACCCAGGAGACGGAAGTCGCAGTGAGCGGAGATTGCGCCACCACACTCCAGCCTGGCGACAGAGCAAGACTCCATCTCAAAATAAATAAATAAATAATAAATAAATAATCCAAATTGTGCTTATTGAAGACTGCAGTAATTTCTTCTTAAAGAAAATAGTGGCCGGGCGCAGTGGCTCACGCCTGTAATCCAAGCACTTTGGAGGCCAAGGTGGGCGGATACCCTGAGGTCGGGAGTTCAAGACCAGCCTGACCAACATGGTGAAACCCCGTCTATATTTAAAAAAAAAAAAAATAATAATAATAATAATAATAAAAGGCCGGGTGCGGTGGCTCACGCCTATAATCCCAGCACTTTGGGAGGCTGAGGCGCGTGGATCACGAGGTCAAGAGATCGAGACCATCCTGGTCAACATGGTGAAACCCCGTCTCTACTAAAAATACAAAAATTAGCTGGGCATAGTGGTGAGTGCCTGTAGTCCCAGCTACTCGGGAGGCTGAGGCAGGAGAATTGCCTGAACCCAGGAGGCGGAGGTTTCGGTGAGCCGAGATCGCGCCATTGCACTCCAGCCTGGGTAACAAGAGCGAAACTCCGTCTCAAAAAATAATAATAATAATAAATAAAATAAAATAAAATACTGTATTCTCCCGCAAGACCTTTCTTAGACTGTGAGCAACTTGGAAACAATGATTATTATCATCGTGTTCCGTGTGTTTTGTAGAGGAAGGCACTCACTAAAAACTGGTTTGTTCAGTGTAACCACTTAAGAATTGGACATGCCGTGCTCAGCCCTAAGGGGCGCTGTGCTCCTCTAAGGAGCGACGTGACCCCCGAGTGTGGGGCTGCAAACTCCTCTCGCTCGCAAGGGAAGATGCAGGCGAAGACCACGCCCCGCCCGCCGCGCATGCGCAGCTCCCGCTGGCCCCGCCCCGTCCTCTTCGGTCTGCTGCCTCTGTTCAGGTTTGGGGGGCGGCCTGCGGGGGAGGGGCATCACCTAAGGGCAGGCTCTTAGGTCTCGGGGCTCCATTGTTGGCGAACCCCAACTTCCGGTAAGACCTGGAGCTGTTCTTGCAGCTCCGGAGACAATTCATGGGTCTGGGGGCCACCGAGGCGCTGCCCGTGACCAGCACACGACCCCTTTCTATCGCGCCAGGCCTGTGGTCTCCGCACCTCTCCAGCTCCTGCACGTCGGCCCCGTGGTTCCCACCACAATCGGGTGTCCAGGGTGGCGTGAGGACACCGGGCTGGGCAGGTGCCAGGAGCCCGCCACCTCTCCTCCTCCCCCTCCGCCGCCTGGCCCTCCCCTACCAGGGTGCTAGAAGCGCGGGGCCTCCGGGAGAATACGTGCGGTCGCCCGCTCCGCGTGTGCCTACGCCTTCTGTGCCAGTTGCTTTCCCAATTGAGCGGAAAAGCTGGGGCATGTTGCCGGAGCCCTGGGCAGGACGGTTGTGCACTGCAGCCCGAAGCCCGCCGGGGCACCTTCCAGCCCAGACTGCCCAGTCCCTCTGGTTGCGACCCCTGCCAGCGTCCCCCAGGTTGGAAACCATACCCTGCAGTCCCCAGCCAGCCTGAAGGAAGCCCAGATTGACGTCGCAGGGTAATGGGGACCCAGAGGCAGCTCTGTGGGGCCCCATCAGGACCTCAGCCCTTAGCAGGGCTTTCTGTGTGACACCGAAACCGTTACATCTATTATGTGCTAAGGATTGAGAGTTCCAGGGATTGAGGCCGGCTCTAGAAGACTTAGAAGTGAGATAACTGGGGTGTTTGCATGACAGTTTGTTTTGGTGGGGTGGTGGTGAGTGCGAGTAGAAACTAACCTAGTGCCAAGTGCAGTGCCTGTCCACTAGTAAGTTAATAAGTCTTCCGTGAATGAATGAGAAGGTTCTGTGACTGAGGAAGCAGGGCTAGAGAGGACTTTTCTGCTCATCCCACCCCTTCCTCCCCTGGGCTCATGCAGACAAAAGTAATTAGGTTGAACCTTTAATCAAAGCTGGTTTCACAGGCAAGCAGACATAACAGAGGAGGTAAAGGCAGAAATCCTGGGGACACAGGGTGCTGGCCTGGCTCAAAAGCATGCCTCTTTCTGGGACCTTCTCCACCCCCTACAGTTTGGTGCTCTGTAATCTCCTGTTTTCTCTGTCTCCCTCAGGACACTGGGTCCCCTAGGAGCTGCCTCAGGCTTAATGATTGTCCAGAAGGTGGCTATAAAGGGAGCCTGGGAGGCTGTGTGGAGGAGGGAGCAGAAAAAACTCAACTCAGCAGATCTGGGAACCGTGAGAGCGGCGAGCAGGAACTGTGGTCAGAGGCTGTGCGTCCTGGCTGGTAGGGCCTGCTCTTTTCTACCATGGCAGCCCAGGGGTATGGCTATTATCGTACTGTGATCTTCTCAGCCATGTTTGGGGGCTACAGCCTATATTTCTTCAATCGCAAGACCTTCTCCTTTGTCATGCCGTCGTTGGTGGAAGAGATCTCTTTGGACAAGGATGATTTAGGTGAGCCCTGAAACGGCAGGGTGGTGGGCCTGGGGACACAGAACAGCAGGACATACTGGGTATTTGTGTATGGGCATGTCTTGTGGGTGGAGTGTCTGCACAGTAGAGGCCAGGGGCCAGTCTACATGTGCCAGATGAAGAGGCTCTGAGACCCATGGACGTGGGTGCATGCGGGGCTAAGGAGGGGCTGCTTACTTGATGTGGGTGAATGTGTGTGTGCATGCCCCTGGAGGCACTGTTTATTCCGACAGTGTTTGAGGGGCTTCTGAGCATGGTTTTCGCACCTGTGTGGGTGCATGCGGAGGCTTCAGAGTGAGTGCTGGCTACTGACACTGTGAGCACTGGGAACTAAAAAGCTGGCCCAATGATTTGATGCGGCCTGGCATGCTACCCTTCAGAAGGGACAAGGTCCCTGACTCCAGTCCTGAGCCCTTCGCCCCATGTTGAGTGGAGGAGCAACAGAACTGCTAGAGGCTGGGGGTTGGCATCCAGAGTAAGGTGGGAAATCAGGCATATGCAAATCCCAGGGAGGCAGAGCTGCCGTGTCCTGCTCCCTGCTTGTTCCCTGACACCTGCAGCTGAGAATCATGGGTCAGTCTGGGGTTAGCGCTGATGGTGAGACAGGAGTAGCAGAGGTAGTAGGGCCCATGAATGAGTGTCAGATTGCAGCTCAGGCTTCTCCTGTTCCTCTGGGAAGTAACCTGTCCCACCCCACTGGGCACCCCTCCACACCTGACCCCATGCCTTCTTCCAACCCTCTTGTGCTTCTCCCCTGGTCCCTAACTCCCAAGTGTAATATCTCCTGTCCTGCTCCCCTCCCCTGCAGGGCTCATCACCAGCAGCCAGTCGGCAGCCTATGCCATCAGCAAGTTTGTCAGTGGGGTGCTGTCTGACCAGATGAGTGCTCGCTGGCTCTTCTCGTCTGGACTACTCCTGGTTGGCCTGGTCAACATATTCTTTTCCTGGAGCTCCACAGTACCTGTCTTTGCTGCTCTCTGGTTCCTTAATGGCCTGGCCCAGGGGCTGGGCTGGCCGCCATGTGGGAAGGTCCTGCGGAAGGTGAGTGCTTCCAAAGAGCCTGTTTGGATTGTCATAGAGGATGCCTAAAGAGCATGTGGGAGCACCCCTTCTGACCCACCACCTCCACATCCCACCCATAGCAGGTTCTGAGCGGTTCCTGGCCAGCTCCTGTTGCTTGTCAAGATATTTTAGGAGGCTGAGAGTGGTGGGATCAGGTGGCAGAGGAGGGAACTTCCCTGCCAAACAGAAGTGCCCTTTCCCTCTTCCCTGTAATGTGAGCTTCTGGGGCTGCCCCACCTGACCACACCCTCAATATGGGCAGTAGGCTGGACACCTACTTTGTCGCCCTCTGCCCCACAGTGGTTTGAGCCATCTCAATTTGGCACTTGGTGGGCTATCCTGTCAACCAGCATGAACCTGGCTGGAGGGCTGGGCCCTATCCTGGCAACCATCCTCGCCCAGAGCTACAGCTGGCGCAGCACGCTGGCCCTGTCTGGGGCACTGTGTATAGTTGTCTCCTTCCTCTGTCTCCTGCTCATCCACAATGAACCTGCTGATGTTGGACTCCGCAACCTGGACCCCACGCCCTCTAAGGGCAAGAAGGGTGAGCCCCCACCCAAGACGGCCACTGGGGCACTCATTCATCGGGCAGATTTTTGTTGAAGACTAGGCATTTGCCTGGTTCTCTGCTAGCCAGTGGATGTGGGGGAAGGGGTGGTAATGGAGGCTGCATGGAGAGTAAACAAAACTCCATCCCAAGAGGCAGTTAAGTACCAGACAAGTGGCAGAGCCAGCAAGTGCTATGACTCATGTTATTTTCTGGCTCTTCCTCACGACAGCACAGACTCCCTGTCCTGGATAGATAGAATCATGAGCTTCAGTGGCTTGGGTGCCTTCCTCCCTCCTCCCTGGTCCTGTTTCTCTTTCATTCACTGAGCTTGCAGTGGAGACGGGGAGAGAGCAGCGGGGTGAGGGAATATCCTTCACGCTGATTCTGGCTGCGCAGATGGACTCTGCCCCTGTGGCTGGTTAATGAATGGTGGGGGCTCAGGATGGGGAGAGCAGTAAGGGCAGAGCCTGACACCTGGCCTCTTCGCACCTCCAGGCTCCTTGAAGGAGGAGGGCACCCTACAGGAGCTGCTGCTGTCCCCTTACCTGTGGGTGCTCTCTACTGGTTACCTTGTGGTGTTTGGAGTAAAGACCTGCTGTACTGACTGGGGCCAGTTCTTCCTTATCCAGGAGAAAGGACAGTCAGTCCTTGTAGGTAAGATGGGCACTGGGGCAGGGTGGGCCTAAGAAGCAGGAACCAATGCAGGGGATGGAAATTCAGACCTTGCTTCCCTTTATCCTCTTTATTCATTCCTTAAGGCTGGGCACTACTCAGGCAGTTATAGCTAGTCACCTGTGGGGACCCTGTACCTCTCCGGGTTTAAGCCATTGTGGGAAGACCCCGATGTGTAACACCCTTCCACCCTTCCCTTCCCTCTGCCCACAAATCCCCACTGCAGGTAGCTCCTACATGAGTGCCCTGGAAGTTGGGGGCCTTGTAGGCAGCATCGCAGCTGGCTACCTGTCAGACCGGGCCATGGCAAAGGTGAGTGGGCCGAAGGGACAGAAGGGTCCCTTTCAGTCTTCACAGCATGGCTGGGACAGGCACTGGAGAGAAAGTAGTCCCAGGGCACAGGCAGGTTGGCATCTGCTGGTTTAGACCGGGTGAAGAGGGAATGATTCCAGGCTTCTCTTAGGTGTGGAGGTAAGGCTCTTGGGGAGAGTTTTAACTGATGTGAAGGACAGCCAGAATATTTCTTAGCCTAGCTTAGAAAGGCTAAGTAGGCTTCTCCACAGCCCCAGGAAAATGGGCTGGGAATAGACGGGGTGCACTCCCCAGCACGTGTCCTGGTCCTGCCCCAAGCGGGAGGAAGGGATGTTGTGGAGTTTGGCCTCAGAATGTAATGAGCAGGTCGCAGGGCCTCCCAGAGCTGCCCGGGGCCAAGAACTGTGGTGGGATTGCCAAAGACCTGTCAGCAGAGGCCCTGCTGTGTCAGAGTCCAGGGGTGGCGGTTCTCTGCCCTGTTCTGAGAGCCTGACTTTGCTGGGACTGTATCCATAGGCGGGACTGTCTGTCTACGGGAACCCTCGCCATGGCCTGTTGCTGTTCATGATGGCTGGCATGACAGTGTCCATGTACCTCTTCCGGGTAACAGTGACCAGTGACTCCCCCAAGGTAATTAATGGCCTGGCTCACAGGAGGGCCCAAGGAGAGAAAGCAAGGGCAACTGAGTCTGTCTCCCTCTCCTGGCTCTAGCCTGGGCCAGTTTTTTTCTCCGCCTCTCAGATTCCCTTTTCAGTTCTGAGTGGACTGCTCTCTCTGCATCTGGGTTCTCCTCCTCCACTCTGGGCTTGGTGTTCTTTTCTTTCCTGTGCTCCACCAGGATGTTGCTTTCTGGACTCTGGCTCTTCACCCTCTCTCGGAGCTCACAGGCTTTACGGAGCGCGAGGTGCCTTAAAGATATCTCTGGTTTTTCTCCTGGTCTGTCTCACCTTTGTCCTACCCCTCTGCCACACCCCTAGCCAGTCCAGCTTGTGTAAATCCTGAGCACAGCCTCCAACTCAGGGATGACTTCCGTACCTCCTTTCCCTGCCCACCTGGATCCCTGGGTTGGCTCAATATGGCATCCACTCTAGCTCTGTACTGTCAATTGTGTCGGGAAGTGGGGGGAGGAGGGTCACTTAGTTACTGTCCCTTTACAACTACTGTTTGTTCCTGGAGACCAAGCCTTCCTTGCTCTGGCAGGGGTGGGCAGGCAGGTAGGCTTTCCGACTCTGAGTGCCACTCCACTCTGCCCTTGCAGCTCTGGATCCTGGTATTGGGAGCTGTATTTGGTTTCTCCTCGTATGGTCCCATTGCCCTGTTTGGAGTCATAGCCAACGAGAGTGCCCCTTCCAACTTGTGTGGCACCTCTCATGCCATTGTGGGACTCATGGCCAATGGTAAGTGTTACCTTCTAGAGTCTCTCTCTCACCCCCACCTGTGCTTTGCGTATAGGCCAGTGAGAAGCTGGAGCTAGCACCACTGGCTTAGAATCTTTCCCCTTCCCCAACAGTGGGCGGCTTTCTGGCTGGGCTGCCCTTCAGCACCATTGCCAAGCACTACAGTTGGAGCACAGCCTTCTGGGTGGCTGAAGTGATTTGTGCAGCCAGCACAGCTGCCTTCTTCCTCCTACGAAACATCCGCACCAAGATGGGCCGAGTGTCCAAGAAGGCTGAGTGAACAGTCTAGGTTCCGGAGCACCATCCCATGGTGGCCTTCCTCCTGCACCTTGTCGGGGGAGCAAAGGAGGCGCCTGCTTGGCTAGCCCCGAACCTTTCACTTTGTTTCTGCGCCTTCTCCCTCACCCAGGTGGCGCTGGAAGTTATCAGTGGCTAGTTGAGATTCCAGCTCTCTGATCCTATGCTCTATGTAAAAGATAACCTTTGGCCTTAGACTCCGTTAGCTCCTATTTCCAGCCTTCAGACAAACAGGAAACTTCTGCAGTCAGGAAGCCTCCTGTACCCTTCTTTTCCTAGGTCCTGTTCTGCCCCCACCCTATCCATCCCCACCTGACTTGCAGCTGTCCCTCCCTGCAGCTGCAGGGCGCTAATGGCCCTTGACTTCTGCTGGGCCCTAAGTCCTCTCAGCGGTGGGTGACTGCTATTGCCAATACCTCAGACTCCAGGGAGAGAGAGGAGGCCATCACTCTCACTAGTACCCAAGGCACAGTTGGGTATGGGTGGGAAGAAAGGGTGACTTGTTATAGAAGATTAAAACTAGATTTGATACTGAACACTGTCGGTGATTCATTCTTTCAAAATGAGACAGTTTCCTTGGGAAACACTGTCAATACCTGCTCTTTCCATCCCAAAGGGAGAGACTTTGTCTTTCCCTAGAATGGGGAAGCTGAAGTGTAGATGGACTTCTTTAAAGCTCAAGCCTCCTCTGCCTTCACCTGAACATTGACTCGTTCAAGGATTATTTTAGAGATAAAGCTATTGGGTTGTGGACAGGCTAAACAACTTGATGGAGGGAGGAAGTGTAACAGTGGTTTATTGAGTGTGTAGTAAGAAAGCCTAGGTTCAAACCCAGGCTGTCAGTAACGAGCTTGGAGACTTTGAGGCAGAAAGTCTGCTAAATCTTGTCTGTAAAAGAACGTACCCCCTGGGGTTAGGGTGAAGATCAAGTGAGATAAAGCAGGAAGACCTGGCTGTAAATGCTTGATATATGTGCCATCATCATCACAACCACACCACCACTGCCACCACCCCAGGACCCCACGAAATTAGCAGCAATTCTGGGACTAGATCCAGTGCACATGCTTCAGAGTCCGTACCCCCTGGGGTTAGGGTGAAGATCAAGTGAGATAAAGCAGGAAGACCTGGTTGTAAATGCTTGATATATGTGCCATCATCATCATCACAACCACCACCACCACTGCCACCACCCCAGGACCCCACGAAATTAGCAGCAATTCTGGGACTAGATCCAGTGCACATGCTTCAGAGTCCTATGCTCATTTATTTAATGAACACGTATTTGTTACGTTTTTTACTAGAACATCATCTTTGCAGAATTCCCTAACCATTTTTGTCTCCCTTCCTGTACCTTTCCCCTAAAACCATCAATTAAGATAGCAAACACGAAGATCAAAGGAATGTTTATTACAACATTTATGGACCTTTCTCCTCCATAAATAAATCTGTACAGAGTTGGAAAATAAGACCATGATATATACAGAAGGAAACAGCATAGTGTGAAGGCTCAGGAATCAGCACATGTCATCAGGGTCAGCATTTTCCCATTTTCAAGTGCACTAACAAGGCTGCTGGAATCTCCACCGGAGTGCAAATAGTATTCCTGTTGCAGGAACTCTCAGAATGTGGGAGTCCATCGCAGGTTCAGCCTATGACCCAGGTCCAAAAGTTCCAGCCTTCTCTGCCACCTCCAGGGCTAGCTTCAAATTCTGGTCAAATAGCTCACACCTAAGCCAGGCCCAAGGTGGTTAAAAAAAAAAACATGAAGCCTGAGGTTTCTCCCCACTTAAGCCAGGGAAAACTGCTTGAAGAAAGACATAAATCATGGGAGGTGGAGGTTGGCGAATCATCTGAGGTCAGGAGTTCGAGACCAGCCTGGCCAACATGGTGAAACCCCTAACCCTAACGTGTCTCTATTAATAATACAAAAATTAGCCAGGAATGGTGGCAGGTGCCTGTAATCCCAGCTACTCGGGAGGCTGAGACAGAAGAACTGCCTGAACCCAGGAGGTAGAGGTTGCAGTGAGCCAAGAGATCATGCCATTGCACTCCAGCCTGGATGACAAGAGTGAAACTCCATCTCCAAAAAAAAAAAAAAACCAAAACCATAAACCCCAAGGAAAATCTGGTTTCTTAAATAAAGGGCTAGTTACTGGTGTCTTATTTATTTGACAGAGTTTCACTCTGTCACCAAGGCTGGAATGCAGTGGCATGATCTTGGCTCACTGCAACCTCTGGCACCCAGGTTTAAGCGATTCTCCTACCTCAGCCTCCTGAATAGCTGGGAGTACAGGTGTGCACCACCATGCCCAGCTAGTTTTTGTTTTTTAGTAGAGGCAGGGTTTCGCCATATTGGCGAGGCTGGTCTTGAACTCCTGACCTCAGGTGATTCGCTGCCTCAGCCTCCCAGTGCTGGGATTACAGGCGTGAGCCACCACACCCAGCAACTACTGTCTTACTTATTTAGAGACATGGTCTTGTTCTGTTGCCCAGGCTGGAATGCAGTGGCACCAGCATGGCTCAATGCTGCTTTGAGCTTTGGGTTCAAGCAATCCTCCCACCTCAGCTTCCTGAACAGCTGGTATCTGCCACCACACCAGGCTAATTTATTTATTTATTTATTTATTTATTTATTTAAGACTGGTGTTGAACTCCTGACCTCAGGTGATCTGCCCACCTTGGCCTCCAAAGTGCTTGGATTACAGGTGTGAGCCACCATGCCCGGCCTTTTTTTTTTTTTTTTTTTTTTTTGTAAAGATGGGTCTATGTTGTCCAGGCTGATCTCAACCTCCTGGGCTCAAGGGATCCTTCCCCCTCAGTCTCCCAAAGTGCTGGGATTACAGGTGTGAGCCACCAGCCTGTCCTCCCATCTTACTTAAAAGTAATACTCCGCTATGCTTCAAATGACTTTGGGCAGAGCACACAAGGAGGGGCAAGGAGGGTTTAACCAGTATCTGGGAAGTGGGGCCACTTACCTGATGGGCATTTCTAAGGAGTAGAATGGATTCTTGAGGGCAAAGTCTGAGTAAATCTCATAAATCTTTCGGAGAAGAGAATCTATTCCAGCTTGCCTAGGATCTGCTAGAACCACAAACTTGATCCCTGGAGAGAGATCAAGAATGGTTACCAAAGGGTAGACACTGGAGCAAATAGTGTCATCCTGTATTCGTAGAGCACTTTCAATTTTGCGAAACACTTTCATAAGCCCATTTTAATTTTATTCTTTTACCACATAATGCAGGAAAGGCAAGACTTTGAATCTACAGATGAGACCAGAGAAGTGAAGTGACTTTATTATGTTGCCCAGCTGATTAAGACCAGGTGTTGAGTTCTAGCTCTGACATTTACTGTTTTGGAGTCCCTCAGCAGAAACATTGCCAAGCAGGGGACAAACTCAAGGCAGTTTTCAATAAATTAAGGGGGTGAAGCAATGACACTCGCAATCCAAAGGTCATATCCATTTGGCTTTCAAATTTCATTTTGGAAAAACACTTTAACACCTTCCAAAGTACATGCAACAGAAAACAGCATTAAGCTAAGTTTTATCTGAACATAAGATAGCCTGTGCTGAACATTCTGGGTGGCACGGACAAAATCAGTTTCAGATTAAATATTGGCTTTGGATTCACAAAACAAACAGATGTGTCTGTAGAATTGTGCCAGGAAGGCCAGGCACAGTGGCTCACATCTGTAATCCCAGCACTTTGGGAGGCCAAGGCAGGCGGATCACCTGATGTCAGGAGTTTGAGACCAGCCTGGTCAACATGGTGACCCCAGCTCTATTAAAAACATAAAAAAATTAGCTGGGTGTGGTGGTAGGCACCTGTAGTCTCAGCTATTTGGGAGGCTGAGGCAGGAGAATCACTTGAACCCAGGAGGTGGAGGCTGCAGTGAGCCAAGATCACGCCAGTGCACTCCAGCCTGGGTGGCAGAGTGAAACTCCATCTCAAAAAAAACCCACAAAAAACCACACCCCCTCTTCTTGCTTACCAAAGGTGTCTTTGGTCAATCTCTTCCCCCAACCTTCTCCATCACACTCTGCTGGCCTCCTGGAGATGCATACCTGTTAGTGTTTCTTCTCCATCACATTCCTCTGGCCTACCTGGAGATGCATACCTGTCAGTGTCTGGTAGCAGTGCAATTTGAATGTATCTGTCTCCAGCATCTCAATGCCTGAGCTTCCCTGTTCAGGAGACAGCTGAGAGCCGATGGCAAAGAGCCTATATGCAAAGGAGGCAAAGTTGCTCTAAGGAAGGGGTGCTTCTCAAACTTCCACTGAAGTGTCCCTATTTGCTGAGTTCACAGTACCGCCTGGAACAGTCAGGAGAAGTAGTGTGAACTGTCTGGCAGTAGTGTCAAAATTTCTAAGTTCATCTGAATTCTGCGAACATTTTACATTCATACTTTGTTGTAAGACATTTAACATCTAAAACTCTGGGTAAAATAAACACTCTAGGAATATGTGCCACGCCTACTTAGCTTGTGTTTAAGCAAAGGCTGGCACATTTGATACCACAGTTGAGAGCAGGAAGAAATTTTTAAAGATCATTTAGTTCAATTGGCTTTATTGAAATATGAAGAAACCAAGGCTCAGAGATGAGAAGCTGACTTTAAGTAAGATGACACCTCGACCAGATGCCGTGGCTCACGCCTGTAATTCTGGCACTTTGGGAGGCCAGGGCGGGTGGATCACCTGAGGTCAGGAGTTCGAGATCAGACTGGCCAACATGGCAAAACCCGGTCTTTACTAAAAATACAAAACTTAGCTGGGTGTGGTGACATGCGCCAGTAATCCCAGCTACTCAGGAGGGTGAGGCAGGAGAATCGCTTGAACCTGGGAGGCAGAGGTTACAGTGAGCAGAGATCGTGCCACCGCACTCCAGCCTGGGTAACAGAAGGAGACTCCGTTCCCCCTGCCCCCGTACAAAAAAAGATGACACCACTGCCACTATTACCTAAAATCTAGATCTGAGTCAGTTGCGTTTTTCACAACACCAGAACCACGATTTAAGAAGGGGTAGAGAAATTAAGAAGAGGCAGAGAAATAACAAGCACTGCCGAGACGGCGGACTTACGAGTGGAACATAGAGGCCAGCATGAGCTTCTCATTAGAAGTGAGGCGGGGTCGGCCAAATCGAATGGACACCGGATAATTAGCAGGGTTACCCAGATACTCCAGCACCTCTTTCCCGTCGGCCGTGTACCTGCCATTCACGTCCATGCCATTGATGGCCAGCACTGCATGACCCACTGCAGAGGTGAGGCTAACGGTCAGGGAAGCTGCGGCCCCAGGAATCTGCCACCGGGAGAAGGGACCCGACACCACCCCTACTCCCAGCTCCGCACCTGCAACCAGCCCACTTCCGCAGCACTGGGGCCCGCCCCCCATCTCCGCAGGGCCCGAGGCTAGCCCACCTCGGATACCGTCCCGCTGGCCGAAAGCAACCAGCACACGCTCATCGTGTAGCTTGAGCAGCAGATCCAGCGGATAACTGAAAGTTTTCTCAGCCTCGGCCCGCGGCGCGTAGCTGTCCAGCTGGTAAATCAGGCCGCCAGCTTTGTTCACCACATACACACTAAAAATCGCCATTGCTGCTACCGCCACTCAGGGACTGGCGTTCGGCCTCTACCCGGAACCACATCACAGCACGTGCCCCGGGAACCACCCCAGCCTCCACCTCCCGGCCCCGAGCACCGACCGCCCATGCGGCACCTGCGCACTGGGAGCGACACGCTCGGGTATTAGTAATGCGGCAAAGTTAGGTGCCGAGACCTGGCGGATTGTTTTTCGTTTATCAGAACCGGAAAACACTACTATAGTACTGCGTCACAACTAGCGCAGACTCCGACCACCTGGGGTAGTGCCTAGGCGGAGCGGCCTGGGAACTGGACTCTGCTTCCTTCCGCCTCAAGCTGGAGGACGAGCGCTTCGCGTGGGACTTCCTCCGCCTGGCTCCGCCTCTTGCCCCGGAAGTAGTCATAGCGGAGGGAGGTTTCTGGGCCCGTTTTTGCGCAGCGCTTCCTTTTTGTCCGACATCTTAGCGCGGTTGTAGTGTTCGCCGCTGCTCTCCGAGATTCGCGATGGTAAGCTTCAGGGGTATGAAGTCGCCGGGGTTCTTGGGTTTGAGGGCCCAGTGGGAGAGACAGTTCGGCGGTAGCGCTTGTTGGCCTTCCCGCCGCGGGGCAGGGCGGGCGCGGTTGTTGCTTTGCCCATGTGCTCCGGTGGTGGAGTTTGCGGGGCCTGGGGGCGCTGTGTTAAGGGAGTTTGGGGCTATTTGAGGACCTGGCTGCATTCCCGCTGCCCTCCTACAGCCGCCCAAGGACGACAAAAAGAAGAAAGACGCCGGAAAGTCGGCCAAGAAAGACAAAGACCCAGTGAACAAATCCGGGGGCAAGGCCAAAAAGAAGGTAGGAGTAACACCCGTCTAAGAGAGAGACCTAGGGGTACCTTCCTGTAGCCCTCTAGTAATAGGCAACTTGTATAGCAAGAGGCTTTTCAGGTGTGGATTCTAGAGTCAAGATATGAGAGTTTATCCTCCCATCACCACTCGTTCTTTTTCCTAATTTCCATTAGCATCATGAGACCAGTGTGTAGTGTCCGCTCCAGTGCCTGCCGTGTTATTTTATTTTTATTTTTTTGAGACGGAGTTTCGCTCTTGTTACCCAGGCTGGAGTGCAATGGCACGATCTCGGTTCACCGCAACCTCCGCCTCCTGGGTTCAGGCAATTCTCCTGCCTCAGCCTCCTGAGTAGCTGGGATTACAGGCACGCGCCACCATGCCCAGCTAATTTTTGTATTTTTAGTAGAGACGGGGTTTCACCATGTTGACCAGGATGGTCTCGATCTCTTGACCTCGTGATCCACCCGCCTCCCAAAGTGTGGGATTACAGGCTTGAGCCACCGCGCCCGGCCTGCCGTGATATTTCTAACTGATCTAGTGGGGCTCGGCCCATGTTCTGAAACCCAAAAACGTGTTTTTTTTTTTTTTTTTTTTTTCCGTAATGTGTAATCTATCTTTGATTACGGTGCGACAGATTTCTCTGACACAGATTACTCGAGAGAAAAAAGGTGCTTCTACCAGAAATACTAACTTGTTTCTGTTTTGTTTCGGTGAGCAGAAGTGGTCCAAAGGCAAAGTTCGGGACAAGCTCAATAACTTAGTCTTGTTTGACAAAGCTACCTATGACAAACTCTGTAAGGAAGTTCCCAACTATAAACTTATAACTCCAGCTGTGGTCTCTGAGAGACTGAAGATTCGAGGCTCCCTTGCCAGGGCAGCCCTTCAGGAGCTCCTTAGCAAAGGTGAGGGGTGTAAATTATCTTTTGTGGGTTAAATTATCTTGACCGGCCGGGCACAGTGGTTAACGCCTGTAATCCCAGTACTTTGGGAGGTCAGGAGTTTGAGACCAGCCTGGTCAGCCTATAATAAAATCCCGTCTCTATTAAAAACACATTAGCTGGGTGTGGTGGCACACACCTGTAGTCCCAGCCACTTGGGAAACTGAAGCAGGAGAATCGCTTGAGCCCGAGAGGCAGAGGTTACAGTGAGCCAAGACTGGCCACTCTAGTGCAGCCTGCGTGACAGAGCAAATTCATCTTTTCAGAAACACAAAATTGTCTTGATTATGTCAGCCATCTTCAGTGATTTTTACTGGAAAAGCAGAATTAAGAAAAAAGGTGACGGGTCACGTTGGCTCACACCTGTAATCCCAGTAATTTGAGAGGCCGAGGCAGGTGTATCACAAGGTCAGGAGTTCAATATCAGCCTAGCCAAGATGATGAACCCCCGCCCCCACCAAAACTGCAAAAATTAGCCAGGCTCGGTGGCGTACATGCTCCTGAGATGAGTTCTTAGCTGGGTTCTTAGACACTTTTGTGCTGTAGACCCTATGGCAGTTTAGTGAAGCCCAAGTTTTTTTTGTTTTGTTTGTTTGTTTGCATGCACTTAGGGCATAGGATCTTTTATGTTTCAAGTAAATGGACGCGTAGAATCACAGGGGCAACACTTTGAAATAATTTAAAAAATATTTAAAACTGTTAAGGTAAATATTTTATTGATGTATTTTAAATTCAGAAAGTTAATATGGTCTACTCAATAATATGATACCATAATTTCACATTAAGGCTCACCTAACTATAGTGACTGAACAGCTGTAATCTTATCATTTTGGGAGGCCGAGGCAGGTGAATCACCTGAGGTCAGGAGTTTGAGACCAGCCTGGCCAACGTGGTGAAAATCACTTTACCGAAAATACAAAAATTAGCTGGGCGTGGTGGTACTTGCCTGTAATTCCAGCTACTCAGGATGCTGAGGCACGGGGATTCCTTGAACCCAGGAGATGGAGGTGTCAGTGAACCAAGATCACATCACTGCACTCCAGCCTTTGTGACAGGGTGAGACTGTCCCCACAAAAAAAGATGATGGGCCCCCACTTTAAAGGAGAAGTAAAGATGAAAAGATAGATGATTGTCAAAAACTGTAGGATTCTCTAGCTGTTGCCAGATGTCAGATTAAGCAGTTCTGGAGCCAGGTGCAGTGGTACCCTTCTATTTCCAGCTACTTGGGAAACCAAGGCAGGAGGATCATTTGAGCCAAGGAGTTTGAGACCAGGCTGGGCACCTTTGAGAGAACCCTGTCTGTCTGTCTCTCTTTTTTTTTTTTTGAATAATGTTTGGTTTTGTTTTTAAATAGAGATGTGATTTTGCCATGTTGCCTGGGCTGGTCTCCTGGGCTCAAGAGATCTGCTTGCCTAAAGTGCTGGAATTACAGGATGAGCCACTGCACCTGGCCAAAACAGCCTTACTATTTTCTTTTTCTTTTTGAGACAGTCTTACTGTCACCCAGGTTAGAGTGTGAGGGGCAATCTTGGCTCATTGCAACCATCTTCTCCTTGGGTTCAAGTGGTCCTCATACCTCAGCCTCCCAAGTAGCTGGGATTACAGGCACGTGCCACCATGCCCAGCTAATTTTTGTATTTTTGGTAGAAACAGGGTTTTATACCATGTTGGCCAGGCTGGTCTGCAACTCTTGACCTCAAGCTGTCTCCCTGTCTCCACCTCCCAAACTGGTGGAATTACAAGCATGATCCATGGTGCCCAGCCAAAAACCTTACTAGTTTCTATTACAGTGTCTATTAAGTATCTCATCTTGAGGCTGGGCATGGTGGCTCATGCCTGTAATCCACTTTGGAGGCCAACGCGAGCGGATCACCTGAGGTTGTGAGTTCAAGACCAGCCTGACCAACATGGTGAAACCCTGTCTTTATTTAAAAAAAAAAAGTATCTCATCTTACTATCCTCTCTCCCTAGGACTTATCAAACTGGTTTCAAAGCACAGAGCTCAAGTAATTTACACCAGAAATACCAAGGGTGGAGATGCTCCAGCTGCTGGTGAAGACGCATGAATAGGTGAGTAGGGAATGTTTGGGCTCATGGTATAGGAGGTAGGTACCTCCTTGACAAAGCTTTATGGTTCTGATTCTTTCTTTTTTTTTTTTTTTTTTTTGCAGGTCCAAACAACTGTACATTTGGAAAAATAAAACTTTATTAAATCAAACAAACAAGTATGTCTGTTTCCTCTATCAAGAAAGAGAAATAATCTGGTGGAAGGTACAATAGTAGGAGTTTGTTGACGTTGCTTTAAGCCTCGTGGTAGTTGGTAGAGCACGAATAGCTTTTTTCTCTATGTGACTGCTTCTTCATTGCTGCAGCTTCATTTTTGAATTGATGCCTTAAAGGAAATAAAGGGTTAACAGGAAGAAGGGTGACATCTCCAAAAAGGAGGTTGGATGGGTAGGTTGGAGACCTGGCATTGAACATATACCTGGACTGCCAGCGGCGTCCATTATTCCAGACACGGCCAAAAGAGGGCAGCCAGCCTGCACTGGTCCTGGAGCTGTGATCAAAGTTGGCCCCCACTCTGTCTGGGGGGAGTTTCTTCAACTTCTGTTTTTCCTCTGTGCAGTGATAAAGGAACAGTTTGTTCTTTAATTTTCTTTGTTAAAAAATATAAAGATGGGGTCTTATGCTGTCCAGGCTGCTTTCAAACTCTTGGACTCAACTGATCCTCCCACCTCAGCCTCCCGGAATGCTAGGATTACAGATATGAGCCATCAACACCCAGCCAAGGAAACCATTTTTGAGAGTGAAGATTGAGAGGACCCTCTACCTTTCTTGAATTAGTTTACTAACTTTCTTTAAGAAATTCTTCATAGGATGGTCCTATTTGTTGGTTCCCAGAGGTATATTCATCTTGGATCATCCAGGGGGGTGTGGCACCTGGAAAAGAAATTTTTTTTAAAGCCTTCAGGCTATTACTGTGAAACATAGCCTAGCTGATAGCTCATCTCCTAATAGCTAATGTTTAAAAGCAAAACCCAGGAATTTTGGAGATTAGGAAGAAGGCGCTAGGCCAATTTAAAGCAAGATAACCTTGAATGTGATACTTTAAAATGGCTTTGAGGTGTAATTGACATAAATGATACATATTTAAATTTGGTAACTTTTGAGTGAAGCCATCACAGTCAAGACCTCAAACATCCCCCTCCAAGTATCACTGCTCCATTACAATATTTTCTTGTCCAGGGAATTGGTGATCTTTCAGTTGCTTTATTGGTTTGTATTCTTTAGGATTTTCTATAATGTGTGGATGTTGAGAAGGCTCTGGCCTTTTGAGATTCATCTGTGTTGTGTGTATCAGTAATTGTCTTCATTCTGGAATATTATTCCATTGTTAATCCATTTACCTGCTGATAGACATTTAAATTGTTTGCAATTTGGAGCTGCTACAAATAAAGCTGTTCTGAAGATTTGTGTACAAGTCTGTGTAGACAGACTTTCTTTTCTCTTAGGTAAATAGGTAGAAGTGGAATGGTTGGGATATGGTAGATGTATCCAGAACTGTTTTCCAAAGTGACCATGGTAAATAGGTGGTAAATATTTAGAAGTGGAATGGTTGGATGATATGGTAAGTATATCCTGAACTGTTTTCCAAATTGACTGTACCAGTTTACATTGTAACCAGCAGTGTATGAGGCTTGTTTTTCTTTTTTTTCTTTTGAGTTGGAGTCTGTCACCGAGGCTGGGGTGCACTGGCACAATCTCTGCTCACTGCAACCTCTGCCTCCTAGGTTAAAGCAGTCTGTCTCAGCCTCCTGGGTAGCCGGGACTACAGTACCCACCACCATGCCCGGCTAGTTTTTCTATTTTTAGTAGAGACGGAGTTTTGCCACGCTGGCCAGGATGGTCTTGAACTCCTGACCTTGTGATCCGCCTACCTCGGTCTCCCAAAGTGCTGGGATTACAGGCGTGAGCCACTGCCTGGCCAAGGGTTTGGTTTTTCTATACTGCCAAATACTTGGCATGATCAGTCTTTAATTTCTGCTGTTCATCATGCATACGTAGTGGTATTTCACCGTGGTTTTAATTTGCATTTCCCTAATGACTCATGATGAACAGCTGTTCATATGCTTTTACTGGGTTTTCTTATCAAGTTGACAGTTCTTCATATATTCTGGATGTAAGTATTTTACCAGATATATATGCTGTATCTTGGTCAACTTTACTTGAAAAAGTTTTTATCTCCCAGGGTTTTAGAAACACTGCCCTGGACCTTACCTGAGTGGATGTTACCAACTCCTGGTATATCCTGTAGTTGGAAATGGAAAAAAAATGCTAGTTACAGTAAAGTCTAGACATGACTAAAAAAAAAAAAAAAAAAAAAATCCTAGAAAAGACAGACAAAGCACACTTTAAAAGAGGTGGATGTGACTGCTGCCACAGTGCTAATTGTGCACCCCAGCTGATGTTAAACTTTGAAAGTACAGTCAGTGACTCCAAGACACAAGAAGCTCACAGTCATAAAGTAGAGATGTCTGGAAGTAGAGTGGCTACTAACATGTCATGTGAGCAAAACCTTGCCCTCACAGCGTACATATAATTGGGAAGAGCATTAAGGACAAGTTATGTAAACGACATTTGCAACTTTACATGGTGCCACATCCCAGAGATAACCTGTTGAGATACGCCTTTTATGAAAAAGTGAGTTTGAGCTAACCGCTAAAGGAAGGTAAACTTTAGATGATGAGGGAAGGAAAAGCATGTTTTAGGCAGTGGCAACTGTGTGTAAAAGCCTGAAGCAACACGATCAATACAGCTGAAGTGTAGAGTAAGATCATAGGTGGTGCAATGATTTTTTGTTTGTGAGGCAGACAGGTTAAAACTACTTGTTGACAGGATATGGGAGATGGAAAAGAAGGAAAGGAGCTGCATCTAGTGATTGGAAATACAGGAGTGCTGGGGGTTAGTTTGAGATGCCTGTGGGATATTTAAATATAAATGTCCTGGCTGGGTGTGGTGGCTCACTCCTGTAATCCTTTCGCAGAGGCAGACGGATCATGACGTCAGGAGTTCCAGATTAGCCTGACCAACATGGTGAAAACTCTGTCTCTACTAAAAATACAAAAATTAGCTGGGTATAGTGGCATGTGCCTGTAATCCCAGCTACTCAGGAGGCTGAGGCAGGAGAATCACTTGAACCCGGGAGGCGGAGGTTGTAGTGAGCAGAGATCCCGCCACTGCACTCCAGTCTGGGCTACAGAGTGAGACGCCATCTCAAAAAAAAAAAAAAATATATATATATATTATATATATATATATATATATATGTGTATATATATATATATATAAAATAAATGTCCTGTGTTGAGTTGGAACTATGAGTTCTACAGAGGGCAAGATTTGGGAGTTGGCACTCTTAAGTGGCAATACATATAAATAAGATCACTTTGGAGGATGAGAAGAGGTTTGAGAACACTTCCAGGGAACAGTGAAGAAAGGAAAAGCCTGCAGTGGAGACAGCAGTGGCTAAAATAGATAGAAAAATCAGGAAAGGGGGGTCCTGAGACCTGAGGGAGTATGGGCCCTCTTCTGGCTTGCTTATCCTTTGTACCTGATGCCCAATGAATGTCAGAGATTGTCCTGTCTCCATCCAGTCAAGCTCTGGAGCTGGTGGCAGGTCCAAGTTTGAGGGCTGCTGTGAGCTGGAAGCTACTTGGCTGAAAAACATGAGCCAGGCTGCCAGATGAGGTCCTTGAACCATGAGGGTGGTAAAGATTAGATCTGTTTCCAATTCCCGGCCAAAAGGTTGCAGAATGTTCTAGATGTCAAATTCCCAACAAGGGATTCCCTATCAGTCTTACCTGTTCATCCCTTTCCAGCTTCTATGTGCAGAAGAGCCCTCTTCTGGGTCTGGTACTGCCTGAGGCTGAGTTTGATTCAGGAAAAATAAATGTGTCTGGGATGCTTAAGAGCCTGCCTAGGCCATGCCTCCACCCTCCAGACCCCAGTATCACAGGAAGGAAACAAATTGGCATATGGAGGGTACAAGCCCATCTTACAGACTCTTCCCCTCCCTCCTTCCCTTTCTCCATTCCCTCCCCCTCTCCCTCCCTCCCTCTCTCCCAGCCCTGTCCACATCACTAATTAGGCCTGCACCCGGTACACAGGTAAAGGAATTCAAGCCAAACAGATACAAATGTAGTCAGAGTTCTCTTAGAAGCATTGTTTCATGGCTGGGCGCAGTTGCTCATGCCTGTAATCCAAGCAGTTTGGGAGGCCAAGGTGGGTGGATCACCTGAGGTCAGGAGTTTAAGACCAGCCTGGCCAACATGGTGAAACTCCATCTCTATTAAAAATACAAAAATTAGGCTGGTGTGGTGGCGAGCACCTATAATCCCAGCAACTCGGGAGGCTGAGGCAGGAGAATCATTTGAACCTGGGAGGCAGAGGTTGCAGTGAGCCGAGATCATGCCACTGCACTCCAGCCTGGGTGACAGTGCCCACCTCCATCTCAAAAAAAAACACAAAAAACGAAAGCAGTGGTTCATGCATTGCTGGAGCTGGGAATGCCAGGGATCAGTGGATTTGGATACTGGTCTGGATCCTCCGAGGGAAACCAACCTCTAAGACAGACTGAACCATCTCCTGCCGGCTCTGCTCCACCTCGCGGATCTGAGCTGCCATCTGTGGGAGAGAGACTGCTTAGACAGGTACAGGATCATGGGGGCTGGGTTCTTCAGGGGCCTTTCCTTTAACTCAGGAGCTCCCCACCCCAAGGAGTGGACCAGTACTGGTCTGTGGCCTGTTGGGAAGCAGGCTACAACAGGACTGCCGCCTGAGCTCCAGATAGATCAGCAGTGGCATTAAATTCTCATAGAAGTGCAAACACTTACTGTGAACTGGGCAGGCAAGGTATCTAGGTTTCGTGCTCCTTACAAAAATCTAGGCCGGGCATGGGGGCTCATGCCTGTAATCCCAGCACTTTCGGAGGCAGAGATGGGCAGATCATGAGGTCAGGAGATCGAAACCATCCTGGCCAAGATGGTGAAACCCCATCTCTACTAAAAATATAGAAATTGATTGGGTGTGGTGGCACATACCTGTAATCCCAGCTACTCAGGAGGCTGAGACAGGAGATTTGCTTGAACCAGGGAGTCGGAAGTTGCAGTGAGCCAAGATCATGCCATTGCACTCCAGCCTGGTGACAGAGCAAGACTCCATCTCAAAAAAAAAAAAGAAAAAGAAAAAGAAAAAAAGGAAATCTAATGCCTGATGATCTGAGGTGGAACAGTCTCATCCTGAAACCATCCTCTGCCTGGGTCCATCTGTGGAAAAACTGTCTTCCACAAAACCAGCCGCTGGTGCAAAAAAGGTGAGGGACCACTGCTTACTTACCTCCTTGATCACTTCATCCTCCTTTTCTTCATAGGAATCCAAACCTTTCACCATGGATTTCTTGAATCTAAAAAGAAAAGGCGCAAATCAGCCCAGAACTCATTCCCCACCAGTTATGAAAAGCTCCTCAGTAGATATATATATTTTTAATTTAGAGAAATTTCCAATTCAGAAACAAAATAAGCACCTATGCACCTCTTACCAGTCATTGTAAACATTTTGCCATACTGGCTCCATTTCTTTTGTATAGACACATATCCTTTTTGCCAAAACAAAGATAGGTTTAGATATCAAACCTTATTTTCAACACGTATCTCCCAAGAAGAGGAACATTCTATACAACCATGAAACCATTACCACATTAAGAAAATCATTCTTTTTGGTGTTGAAATATTTGGGTGGTTAGTATAGACATAAGGTTTATGTGTCTTTAGACTTGAGTGTAGGCATACAGGCTATAGTCACATTTCCCTTCTCTCAAAAATGTGCATTAAGGCCGGGCGCGGTGGCTCAAGCCTGTAATCCCAGCACTTTGGGAGGCCAAGGCGGGTGGATCACGAGGTCAAGAGATCGAGACCATCCTGGTCGACATGGTGAAACCCGTCTCTACTAAAAATACAAAAAATTAGCTGGGCATGGTGGCGGGTGCCTGTAATCCCAGCTACTCAGGAGGCTGAGGCAGGAGAATTGCCTGAACGCAGGAGGCGGAGGTTGCGGTGAGCCGAGATCGTGCCATTGCACTCCAGCCTGGGTAACAAGAGTGAAACTCCGTCTCAAAAAAAAAAAAAAAAAAAAAAAAAATGCATTATGCCTTCTCTATTCTCACCGCCTAATCCCAAAGTCCAACAAAAGGTCACATGGAATTCAGCCATTAGGTCCCTCTAGTCTTCTGTCTATAACAGTCCAGCTGCTTCTTTATTACTTCAAATATAGAAGTACTTCAAATCCTCAGAAGAATCCAGGCCAAATCTTGCATACCATCCCAAGTTTGTTTGTTTGTTTGTTTGAGATGGGCTCACTCTGTTGCCCAGGCTGGTGTGCAGTGGCACAATCTCAGCTCACTGCAACCTCTGCCTCCCAGGCTCAAGAGATCCTCCTGCCCCAGCTTCCTGAGTAGGTGGGATCACAGGCCTGCACCACTATGCCTGGCTAGTTTTTGTGTTTTTTTTAGAAACAGGGTTTTGCCATGTCACCCATGCTTGTCTCGAACTCAGGGACTCAAGCAATCCTCCTGACTTAGCCTCCCAAAGAACTAGGATTACAGGCATGAGCCACTGTGCCCAGCCTTGTATCAGTAATTTGTACCGTTACCTCCCTATTCAAATGCCTCCATTACTTACTTGTATCTTCCTTTTGCCAAAGTGAAAACCCTGGTTCTCAACAATATCTTACAATACACAAAGTTTCAGTATAATTCCAACACCATTATCAACAGTGTTCCTGAGAGCCTTGAATATATCCATGGAGACAATGGCTTGAGGCACACCTTACTGAAGTCTTGGCTGAAAGGCTTGTTTAATCCTGGAACACAGGATGGGAGGTCTACAAGAAACTGCTATGAGGCCATCTTCCACTTCCTCCCCATCTCCCCTAGAAGGTTGTCATGAAACATATCAACTCCTAGGTTCTGATAAGGCATGAGGTGTTCTGTTCCACCCCTCTCAGATTAGAATCACAGAACATTAAGCCACTTAGCTTTAAAAAGTCATTTAAGGCCGGGCACGGTGGCTCAAGCCTGTAATCCCAGCACTTTGGGAGGCCGAGGCGGGCGGATCACGAGGTCCAGAGATCGAGACCATCCCGGTCAACACAGTGAAACCCCGTCTCTACTAAAAATACAAAAAATTAGCTGGGCATGGTGGCGCGTGCCTGTAATTCCAGCTACTCAGGAGGCTGAGGCAGGAGAATTGCTTGAACCCAGGAGGCAGAGGTTGCCGTGAGCCGAGATTGCACCATTGCACTCCAGCCTGGGTAACAAGAGTGAAACTCTGTCTCAAAAAAAAAAAAAAAGAAAGAAGGAAAAGAAAACTGTATTTAGGCCACTGGTATCTCCTGGCCACTGGCTGCCACTACAGTTCATGTTCTGTGGAACCTGGGCTCCTGAAGATGCAGCACTGGAGTAACAGATGATGTTGAGAGGGCATATTAGTCCGTTTTCACACTGCTGATAAAGACATACCTGAGACTGGGTACTTTACAAAGAAAAAGAGGTTTGGACGGGCGCGGTGGCTCAAGCCTGTAATCCCAGCACTTTGGGAGGCCGAGGCAGGTGGATCACGAGGTCAAGAAATCGAGACCATCCTGGTCAACAAGGTGAAACCCCGTCTCTACTAAAAATACAAAAAATTAGCTGGGTATGGTGGCATGTGCCTGTGATCCCAGCTACTCAGGAGGCTGAGGCAGGAGAACTGCCCGAACCCAGGAGGCGGAGGTTGCGGTGAGCCGAGATTGCGCCATTGCACTCCAGCATGGGTAACAAAGGCGAAACTCCGCCTAAAAAAAAAAAAAAAAAGAGGCCGGGCGCGGTGGCTCAAGCCTGTAATCCCAGCACTTTGGGAGGCCGAGGCGGGTAGATCACGAGGTCGAAAGATCGAGACCATCCTGGTCAACATGGTGAAACCCCGTCTCTACTAAAAATACAAAAAAACTAGCTGGGCGTGGTGGTGCATGCCTGTAATCCCAGCTACTTAGGAGGCTGAGGCAGGAGAATTGCCTGAGCCCAGGAGGCAGAGGTTGCAGTGAGCCGAGATCGCGCCATTGCACTCCAGCCTGGGTAACGAGCGAAACTCTGTCTCAAAAAAAAAAAAAAAAAAAAAAAAAAAAGAAAAAGAGAAAAAGAGGTTTAATGGACTCACAGTTCTATATGGCTGAGTAGGCCTCAGAATCACAGCAGAAGGTAAAAGGCACGTCTTACATGGCAGCAAGCAAGAGAATGAAAAACCAAGCAAAAGGAGAAATCTCTTATCATCAGATCATGTGAGGCTTACTACCATGAGAACAGTATGGGGGAAAAAGAAACACTCCCATGATTCAGTTTTCTCCCACTGGGTCTCTCCCACAACATGTGGGAATTGTGGGAGCTACAATTCAAAGAATATTGGGTGGGGACACAGCTAAACCATATCAAAGGGTTGATGACTGACCCAGTCACATTAGAAATAGGTGGACTTGGCCAGGCATGATAGTTCTCACCTGTAATCCCAGCACTTTGGGAGGCCGAGGCAGGCGGATTGCCTGAGGTTAGGAGTTCGAGACCAGCATGATCAACATGGAAAAACCCATCTCTACTAAAAACATAAAATTAGGCTGGACGCAGTGGCTCACACCTGTAATCTCAGCACTTTGGGAGGCTGAGGTGGGCGGACCCTGAGGTCAAGATATCAAGACCATCCTGGCCAACATGGTGAAATCCCGTCTCTACTAAAAATACAAAAATTAGCTGAGTGTGGTAGTGCATGCCTCTAATCCCAGCTACTCGGGAAGCTGAGGCACGAGAAGCAGAGGTTACAGTGAGACAAGACTGCGCTCCAGCCTGGTGACAGAGACTCTATCTCAGAAGACAAAACAAAACAAAATTAGCTGAGTGTGGTGGCACATGCCTATAATCCCAACTACTAGGGAGGCTGAGGCAAGAGAATCACTTGAACCTGGGAGGTGGAGGATGCGGTGAGCTATCATGCCACTGTGCTCCAGCCTGGGCAACAAGAGCAAAAGTCCATATCAAAAAAATAATAATAAGTAGGTGGACTTGTATACACTATCTCTTCCCACTGTGACCCATTATCTGTATCCCATGCTTGCAGGCATGTTTGAGGGATGTTTCCCCACATGTCAAGACCCTCAAGACAGAGCTCATTGATTGGGATGGACCTCTTTTCTGATATATCCTCAACTTCTTAAGAACTTTCTTTTAACCCTGGATTTCAAGAAATTTAATCTACTTCAAAAGGAAATAGATTTTTACCAGACTTAGCTCTTGGTTCATTGTCTCAGTGACCCTAAGGCTTTGTATCCATTCTGTGGATATTTCCTCAGATTACTCCATATCTAAGTACCCCAATCCAGTGGCTGACATCATAACCCAAGTAACCATCATCACCAAGGTCCATTCCTTAACTAGAAAGCATCTCAAACCCTAGCTACTCTAGGCTGGGCGTGGTGGCTCACGTTGAGGAGGGAGACCCAAGCATTTAGGATTCCCTTCCCCGCTGTCATCCTCTGTGTATCTCAATAGAAGAGGGAGCAGGCCAGCTGGTGCCTCCTGAATCTCCTTCCTGAAAACAAGCTAGGCCTTGGGGAAACTCTCCAAAAGGCACCATGGAGAAGGAACTATTTTTTAAAACAAGATCAAACCAGAAACCTTTTCACAGGTAAGACCTAAAACTGTAAACCGGAAACCTTTCATATGTGATTCCTGAAACTGTAAACAAAAAACTTTTCACATGTGAGTCCTAAAACTATGAACCTAGGCCGGGCGCGGTGGCTCAAGCCTGCAATCCCAGCACTTTGGGAGGCTGAGGCGGGTGGATCACAAGGTCAAGAGATCGAGACCATCCCGGTCAACATGGTGAAACCCTGTCTCTACTAAAAAATACAAAAATTAGCTGGGCATGGTGGCGCGTGCCTGTAATCCCAGCTACTCAGGAGGCTGAGGCAGGAGAATTGCCTGAACCCAGGAGGCGGAGGTTGCGGTGAGCCGAGATCGCACCATTGCACTCCAGCCTGGGTAACAAGAGCGAAACTCCGTCCCCCCCCAAAAAAAAAACAAAAAAAAACTATGAACCTAAGATTTTTCTATGTGTAACATCTAAAGTTTAAGCCTATATAAAGGCTGAACCTCCCTTTGTTAAAGGAGCTTGGCTGTTGGGCACATATGCCGCCAAGCTACCAGCTGCAATAAATTCCTTCCTCCTGTATTCAGTGTCCGAGAAATCTTTTCCCGCAGCCGCTCCTGCTACAACATCTGTGATCCCAGCATGCCACTGCACTCCAGCCTGGCAACAGAGCGAGGCTCTGTTACAAAAAAAAAAAAAAAAAAAAAAAAATCCTAGCTACTCTGAAGGCCGG